AATTTCCCCTCAATGTATGGAATTTGAATTTCCATTTAAAATACACTAATAGGTGAATTAAAATAAAATATATTTTAAAACCCTTAAAATGCCATCAGAGTAGACATTTGACAGAAGAGAAACCCCAGATTCAGAAAGTTCAAGAAACTTACCTAAGGTCACACAGCCGTAAAGGAGCAAGGCTGGGAAGGTAATTTAAATATATTAATTTATCAACCCCAGCACTATTGATGTTTTGGAGTGGACAATTCTTGGTTGTGGGGCTGTCCCAGGCACTGCAGGGGTGTTTGGCAGCAACCTTGGTCTCTCCTCACAAGATACCAATAGCTAAAACCGGTTTGGCTCAGTGGATAGAGTGTCAGCCTACAGACTGAAAGGTCCCGGGTTTGATTCCGGTCAAGGGCATGTACCTTGGTTGTGGGCACATCCCCAGTAGGGGGTGTGCAAGAGGCAGCTGATCGATGTTTCTCTCTCATCGATGTTTCTGACTCTCTATCCCTCTCTCTTTCTCTCTGTAAAAAAATCAATAAAATATATTTTAAAATTTTCTTTAAAAGGATACCAGTAGCATTTGCCCTCCAACAAATTATCACACAGATGTCTCCAGACATTGCCAAGTTTCCCCTGCTGTAGAACCACTGCCCTTGAGCTTCTGTCCTAAGCACAAGGCCTGCCCTTCAATGCAGGTCAAGGCCATCCTGCAGGTCAAGATCACACTTGCAGCACACGCTCCCAGCAAGCCTGCCACAGTCTGTGCGCACCTGGGCCTCAGCCAATTTAGTTTCTCCCTCATTTTACTTAGGAAGGAAATGCCGGGCGCCCACAATCTGTGGTGGTTTGGGATATGGACCCAAAGCAAAAATTAATTTTAAAAATAATGAATTGCCCTGCTCTCATTACGAGAAATCTGAGCCAGACTGGATCCATGTGCTAGGAACGAGATTGTTCAAGAGGAAGGGTGGTGGGAAGACTAATTCAAGCTCGGAGTGCTCACCATTTCACTTAGATTTAATTTGATGAAGAAATAGAATAAGAATAGCAAAGTCATCAAAGATGATGGCTTTCCTTTATGACCCTTGGCACCAGAACAAAGAGCCTATTTTTGTGGCTTTTTTGGATTTCCAGAATAAAGGGAATAAAAATGTTTAGGTAATGTTTGGATGGTTTAGAGACTTATGTACATTAGTGATAGGTCAATTAATATCTGCACAGTTCAAAGAGGCAATTATTTCAATTTATAAATCACTTCAGAGGTACAGAGCTGCCATCCATTAATGTGGTTTTTACAAATAAGAGCGCTCATTGTTACGTGTGTTTGTGTGTGCGCGCGTTTCCACCCCTGCAATTCTATCTGGTCTGAATTTTCCGACCAGATCGCATGCCTCTGTGATTATGTATTTTTCTCCTGAGCACTGCCAAGTGCATGGAGCGCTGTATCTGCAATTTGACCCCTGGCTGAGACCACCCTATTTTTCGAGTTCTCACTGTGCTGAAAGATACCACCACACACAAGGTTGCTTCCAGGCCCGGCCTTCTTACATTACACTCTAATTGGGGAGCCAAGACTCCCTGGGGGGTTCCAGTGCCTCTCGGTAATCATTCAAAAAGGGGAGAGGGCCTAAGTGATTTCCAGGCGCAGTGGGCTTCTCTGACACTGTGATAGTTGGTGAAAAGTCTCCAAATAACAACTTGGAGCTTTCCTTTGAAGCAGCACAATAAGCATCTCTTCATTTTAGTTTATTTTTTTTAATTATGAAGTGGCAGCAAAGTACCAAGCATAGTGCTCAACACTTGGGGTACAAGAGTATGCAAGACAATTGCAGTCTGCTGGGCGCAGAAGACAGATCTGGACGTGACCTGCAGTCTGTGAGAGCTGCAGTGGCGAGGGGTAATAAGATGCTGGAGAAGCCCAGACTGGAGAAGGTGTGGTGGTTAGGGAAGCTACCCGGAGGAAGTGACCTTTACCTCAAAGCTGAAGGATGCTTAGGTGTTAGTTTGGTGAACTGGGGTGTTCCAGGCAGAGGGAAAAGGCCCAGAGGCAAGAGACAACTTGGTGATTTCTGGAAACTGAAGAAAAATGGCTGGAGTCTAAAGAGAAAAGAAAAGTGAGGGACAAGCAATGAAGCTAGAGACATGAGGTAGGCAGGATTATAAAACATTTTCCAACTCATGCTACGAGTTTGACTTTCTCCTAAGAGGTGTAGGCATGTGATGGAAATGCATGAAGCTGTGGGAAGTTCTGATTAGATGGATGAAAAGTAACAGGAGGAGAGAGAAAAGGCTGGGGATGGGATGAGGGAGTGGGGACAGGAAGGTGGCACATGAGTCCATCTCAGTGGACTCAGAGCTGGAAAGAAGGAGCATAGAGATGATGCTTAATAGAAATAAGAGAATTTAGTTAATACTAAAAATATCGAGCAAATAATAAATTAACTGACAAACTTTCCTATTATATACTTGTGAGCCAGTGCATGAAATTCGCCACGGTGGGGGGATGTCCCTCAGCCCGGCCTGCACCCTCTCTAATCTGGGACCCCTTGGAGGATGTCTGACTACCATTTAGTCCCGATCCTAAGGACATCCCTCTCGCAATCCGGGACCACTGGCTGCCTGCCCAATTGCCCCTAATCACTCTGCCTGCTGGCCTGCTTGCCCCCAACTGCCCCCCCCTCCAGCCTTCTTGCCCCAACTGCCCCCCACTGCCAGCCTGCTCACCCCCAAACTGCCCTCCCCTCCTGGCCTGATCACCCCTAACTGCCTCTGCCTCAGCCCCGCCACCATGGCTTTGTCCGGAAGGATGTCCGGAAGGTCTCCCAGAAGGTCTTCAGGTCTAATGAGCGTATTACCCTTTTGTTAGTATCCATGGCCTTTCCCTTTGAACTCAGAGTACTTCCATTACAAAAAAGGGACAGTTGTATAATGTAAAATTATATAAACTATATTTATGCCCTTATTTTATTAATTAAAAATCACAAGTATATATTAAGCGTCTCCTACATGCCTGGCACTCTTCTTGTGTTAAGGAAACAGTTGCAGACCAGAGACCATTATGACTTTCAGGGAGGATTTTAGTGATGGAGACAGACAGTGACAGGAATTCAAAGCACAGAGAGTCATCAATACTGTGAATATGAGACATTATAAGATCACAGAGAAAGCCATGCCTGCCTGAAAGGACTGCCTGGGCAAGTGACATTTCAGCTGAGATGGAACACGGAGACGTGAACCCTGAGTAGGTCAGTGGGTCAGGCATTCCAGATGAGGACACAGCCGCGTCCTTGAAGTGTGAATGATCCAGACCTCCTGGGGAAGGAGGGACCACGCAGAAGCCATCACGGAAGGCCATGGTAAGGCATCGGGACACTATCCTGGGGGAAGTTTAGATCTTACAGTCTATCCCTTTTCTGATCAGATGTTATTACATCCATCCCAATAGTGGGAACAAATAGTCCATCTTTGAACTGTGGCACATCCCGGTTTTCAAGGATGAAAATGTTTAATTATGAGATTTCTACTTTCTTCCTTGAGATGATATATTTCTGGTGCAATCCACTTTGTGGGGCAGAACAGACCAGATGGCCTGAGTAACAGCCCTTAGTGAGGGCAAGACATGTTTATGCCTAAAGACCAGCTGCCAGGGACCGGCCCGATGTCCAGGCCCCTTCTCAATGGGAGAGCAAAGCAGTGCTCCATGCTATTCCCATGCTATTCCCCACGTAGAGGAAATGCATTCAGTTGGGAGTTTTGCTATGTGCTGCCTGTTGCCTCGTCAACAATTCAGTTCCTTAATCACAGAAAAAGTGTTTAGAAAACCGAAGCAATGAGGAGAGGAACATCATCAGGAATGAGTGTGTTCCAAGGACTCCCTTGTGCATTACCAACTCTCCTCCTGCATTTACAAGCAGAGGGATGCGGTGCTCGCCTGCTTCCACTGCCTGCTGGCCATTGGCCTCAGTTTCCCCAGTCTGTAAAGTGGGGATAATCACACTTGGCTCTGATTGAGCTGAGAGAAAACTGGGGAAGTGACTGGTGCTCTCCTTGGGATACATTTCCTCACTTGTATTTACACAACAGCTTCGCTCCAGTGGGCTCCGCTTGTTTAGGACAGAATATCAGGTTCACAGGCTCCAAAACACAGCGCTGACACTTCCCTGGAAGCCACCACCCTCCACTGGCAATGGGGGCAGGATGTTATTAACTTGCTTCATTTCATCATCACCAAAGGGAGGCAGTTCATCAAGATGCTGTTTATAAGGAAACCCGTGACATTCTCTTTCTCATGGAAGACTTATCTGAAGGCTCGTGTTTGTCACTGAGGTAATATCAGCATCCAGTAAAATTTAAAAGTGCAAAACAAGATGAGGGTTAAAGCAGAAGGCTGAGAGGGGGAACTGTTGGAGGAATCCTATCTAATAAAGAGGGAATATAGTAATTGACTCTTATGCCATAGCAAATATGGCAGCACACACAGCCAATAAGGAGGGAATATGCTAATTGACTGCCCTGCTCTCAAATATGGAGTTGCCCACAGCCACAGGATGGCAGTGCCCAGTCCCCTCAGCCCCGCCAGGGCAGCAGGCACGCAGCAAGTCTGGGCCCACCCCCAGGCAGGACTGGCCACTTCACTCACCTGCCTCTGGAGTTCCCCAGCCCCCTCAGTCCCTCCAGCCACTCAGGGCCGGCCCGAGGTGCAGGCAAGCCTCAGATGTTGGCTGCCCAGCTGCCCAGGGCTGGCCCAAGGCATAGGAAAGCCTTTGGATAGTGGCTGCCCAGCTGCTCAGGAATACCCGAGGCTCAGATAACCAGGGTTAGCCAAGGCTTATGCTGCCAGCAGTGGCAGCAGCAGAGGTGTGATGGGGTGTCACCTTTCCCTGAACACCAGGTTGCCTCCCACCTGAGGGCTACCAGACTGTGAGAGGGGACAGGCCAGGCTGAGGGAGCCCCCACCCCCACCCCCACTCCAGTGCATGAATTTTCATGCACCGGGCCTCTAGTGAAATTATATTTGGCTCATCTCTGCTAAGTTACATTATGTTATTATGAAAACATTATCATGGTATTACAAAACATTTGTGAATGTACCATTTAAAAATTGTTTGTATTCTAGGCATTATTTCATCACATTAAAATGGGGCATGTTTACAACTTGTGGCAGAGATGTTAATAGCTTTCAGCATTGAACTGCATTTATTTTGAAATTTTTCAAATAGTTCGTTTTTGAAGAAGGTATCTTCAGTGTAGTTCTTCCCAGCTTTTCCTTCTGAAGTTATGTTTCATGACAGCCCATCTCAGTAAACAGAGGCAGTGGGAGGCCCTGTGACGCTGAAAGAAATGCAGATGGAATTGCTGTGTAATGAATGGCTAAGGTTGCTAAGACTACACATGCAGGGAAATGTACTCAAGAAAATGACATTGTGTTTCTCTGGAATTAGAAAGACTGGGGTTCAATTCCCACCTCCATCCCTTACGGTGATGTGACCTCAGGGCAAGTTACATACCCTTCCTAAGCCTCAGTTTCCTTATCTATAAAATGGAGATAAAAACAATGGAATCTAACTTATAAGCTGTAATTCAATTTAAATAGTATTAGGTCTAGTAATAATTAATGTCATTTCTAATACTTTTTTAAATCGAATTTATTTAAACAATACAACAAAATTTAATCAACAATATAGTTGCCGTTGTTTTCTACTACTTGTGCCCAACGCTCAGGAAGCATTTTAATCCCTCTGTTGTAAAATTCTTGTGATTTTGATGCAAAAAATTCGGTCAATGCATTTTTGAGGCATTCTTCATTATTAAATTTTTTTCCAAGAAGAAAGTTTTGCAAAGAACGAAACAAATGGTAATCAGAAGGAGCAATATCAGGAGAATATGCAGGTTGAGGGAGAACTTCCCATTCCAACTGGCGCAGTTTTTCAGCAGTGATTCTTGCAGTATGCGGTCGTGCGTTATCGTGGTGAAGAATTACGCCCTTCCGATTAATCAGCGCGGGTTCTTTTTCTCTTAAAGCTTGGGCTAACCTTTCCAATTGGGCACTATACACTGCACTTGTAATGGTTTGGTTAGATGGTAAAAGTTCATAATGAAGAATTCCTTTAAAATTCCACCAAACACACAACATCACTTTTTTCGCATGCAAGTCAGGTTTTGGCGTGGACTGCGGAGCCTCATTTTTGTCCAACCATTGAGGCTGCCTTTTCAAATTAACATACAGCACCCATTCTTCATCTCCAGTAACAATTTGCTCTAAAAACGGCAAACAGTTTTGAAGAGAGAGGAGCGAACTGCAAATTGTGACTCTTTGATTACGGTTGTTGTCGGTCAACTCATGAGGAACCCATTTTCCAAACTTTTGGACTTTGCCAAGTGCACGCAATTGATTGAAAATTGTTTTTTGTGAACAATTTAAAGTTGTCACAAGCTCTTGTTGGGTAATTTGAGGATTTTGCACCAAAAGAGCTTGAAGAGCTTCTTGATCAAAATTGGACACACGGCCTCGACCACTCTTGTCATCTAACGAAAAATTTCCCTCGTGAAATTTCTCAAACCAACGCTGGCATTTTCTGGCGCTAACTGCATCTTGACCAAGAGCACTACAGATGTTTTTTGCAGCCTCACTGGCTTTTCTTCCTAATTGGAACTCGTAAAGCATGCAGTGCCGAATATGCTCTTCATCCGCCATCTTCTTAGCCCTAGTTTTGTAACAAAAACCAAACCAAACACAAACTTTTTCAAGCAAAACTTGTTAACTGCACTTCACACGTTCTGTAGATACCACGTGTTTGAAGGTTATGTCAATACAAGTCAACACCAAGCAAGATTTTAAACGAATGTTTAAAAACGACATTAATTATTACTAGGCCCGATATAAGCCTCAGAAGATGGCACCTGATACTTAGTAAGACTTTAAAAAGCAGCTTCCAGTTAATAAAAAAAAACTTTCCCTGTCAAGTGTTGGGGGGAGTTAAAGCCATTTAAACACAGGCACAGTACCCATTCTAGATCTTACCAAGTACCTAGAGCACATGTGTCAAACACAAGGCCCGTGGGCCAAATCCGTCCCGCCAGGCCTTGCAATGTGGCCCGCACCGCGCTGTCATCACTGCACTCCGCTGCGTTTCCATCACAATGACAGTTTATGACTGTTTAGTAAACCATTCGGCCCGCGATTTAGGCTGGATTTTAGATTTTGGCCCCTTCTCTGATTGAGTTCGACACCCCTAACCTAGAGGAAGACAGTACTATAGCAATTTGATAGGAAGAAAAGTCTGTTACTTTTAGTAGGCTGCTTTACCAACCCACACTTTTTTAAAAAAAATGAATATTCTTATTGATTTCAGAGAGGAAAGGAGAGATAGAAACATCAATGATGAGAGATTATCATCAATCAACTGCCTCCTGTATGTCCCCTACTGGGTATTGATCCTGGGCCTGTGTCCTTGACTGAAATCAAGCCAGAGAGCCTTCAGTCCGCAGGCTGATGCTCTATCCATTGAGCCAAACCAACTAGGGCACCAACCCACACTTTAAATTCCTCATTCATAAAATAAAAGATTTAGACTAGAATCAGTGTTTCCCAAAAGTAATCACTCTTACACAGCCTTCAAAGTTTTAGCCATGGGGTGTGTGTGTGTGTGTGTGTGTGTGTGTGTGTAAATATAGGCCTGAAAAGAATAAAGCCATATGCATAGATATTCAGTATACCTGTAAATGTTAAATAAATCTGTAATTTAATATAGGCATATTGGCTTTAATTTAACAGCATAAAATATCATAGTACTCATCCTCCTAATGTGTTACTGTGGAAGATCCCATCACTGGAAATCTGACTCATCCTTGGGTGCATTTGGGTACCATATCTGTACCGAATGGATTACCAGTACCACACATCCCTTAGGCTTATCCAGAGAAGAAGAAACAGCTAGTAACCTCTTAGTTTCAAATACACATTAATATAGATACACATGAAACCAATAGGTAGAGTGTAGTAACTGAGAGCACAGATCCTGAAGCCAGACAGCCGGTGTTCAAATCCCATTTTTGCCACTTACTTTGTGGTGCTGGGCAAGTCATTTAACCTCTCTGTGCCTCAGTTTTTTCATCTTTAAAATCAGGGTAACAAGAGTGCCAACTTCAGTGTGTTATTATGATATCTTAGGGGAGTCAATATATGTAAGGTGCTCAGAATACAGAATAGTACCTGTACCAACACTTTGTAACCGAGCATGTCTGCTAACATGGGCAAATATATCCCACTTTAACAGACACCATCTTGGACCATCCCTATATTCCATTTTGGTTCTGAAGACTTGAAGGAGTCCCGAAGGAAGTCTGAGTCCTATTTCTCTTTACTTGGAGTACACACTCTGGCTCAGATGTTTCCTCCTATGAAATTATTATAGTTCTGTCTCCCTCAGGTACTTCCTAAGCATGGTTAGGACTAAGAAGGGTACTGTGTCTGTATTTGAATGGCTTTATCTCCCCCCCAATACTTGACAGGAGATGGCCCTTTTATTAACTGGCAGCTTGTGGCTGCAGCCTGAGCAGACGAGCAATGTGAGAACCAAATGCCGGTTGGTGACGCTCCACTGCTTAAGCAAAACCCCCCGAGACGGAAAGCCGTTCCTCTTGTGATAGCTTCTCTGCCAACAACATTGAAGAAAATTAGACGTAACGTAAATTCCATATGTCCAAATATATTACCATTCCATTTGGCCATAAAAAGTAAGTCTCTCTGGTCTCCCATATCTGAAACCCAAATCGTTTATATCTCAAATTCATATCCTTCCTCTAAATCTTCACACACCTGCATCATGTTGACATCCAAAATAAACACAATTCATTGAAAAATGTGAGATTTCTGTACAAGAAGAAACTCCATGAGGATAAGAAAGCCAGTGTGCCCAGAGATGGGAAGTGAAATATGCAGACGGAGGTAGCGTGGCAAATCAATTCCTGCCTTTGTTCATGTTTAGAGAGATTCAGGGGACAGATCAAGTGTTTAAATTACTCAAGCAGAAGTACGATCTGTTCAGTTATTATGTCTCAGATGTGAGAGTTTTTGTAAATCACAATGACCTGGTAATTACACTCTCAGATACACCCCACAGCTTTTTACAGACCAAGAGCCCTATAGCTTCAGGCTGACTTGGGTCAGGTCCCCTCTGGCTGGACAGACAGGTCGTGTGCTAGAGCTGGACATATCTAAACGAAGACATAATACCTACAGAAAAAGGGGGTGTATGGATGGAAGCCAAGTTCAGTAATGGTTTTATCCAATGATGGTTTTATTTGGTTTGGAAAGAAATGACCCAAAGGCACATGTCTGGTTGGATTTCACTTTGGTATCCAGCTGACTGGGACAACGCTGTTCTCATCCGAGGTTACCTAATTCCCTGGAACCCATTTGTAGTGAAGTGACCATGGCTGTGATTATTGTGTCCATTCCTAACAGAATGTGGTAATTTTTTAGATAGGAAAGTTATAATATATATTTTATGCTACTAAATGAAAAACCACCCATTGAATTGGCATCATATTGGGTTACAGCTAGTGTCGGGTTGTTTAATACACTCCTCCAGTACTTTTGTTTGTAATCTGAATCTATCTTATGGACCTAGTTCAGTTCAGATTGTTAACTAGGATGAGATTATTCTTCTGTCTTACTACATCATCTTTACACCAATTTCCTTTCTGGGATGAACTTTTTTTGCTCTTCCCAGCCTTCCCAGACCTGGGTAGGTAAGACTGTGAAGGGTTCTCCATGGCACTGGTTCTTGATTCTGGATCTTTAGACCTACTTACACCACCTTCTAATAAAATGCCTATTTTGCCTAAATTAGGCTAAACCTGTTTCTCTCTCTTGCATCCAAACAAGGTCATCTAATATACGAGAGAGAGAGAGAGAGAGAGAGAGAGAGAGAGAGAGAGAGAGAGAGAGAGAGGAGAGAGAAGGAGAGGGAGAGAGGGAGAGGGAGAAGGGAGATGGAGCAGGAAGGGAGATGGAGAGAGAGAAGGAAGGAGAGGAAGAGGGAGAAGAGAAGAGAGAGAAGAAGAAGAAGGAGAAGGAAGAAGAAGAAAAGAAAAGAAGAGAAAGAGGAGGAGAAAGGAAGAAGAGATGAGAGAAGAAGACAGAAAAGAGAAGAGAGAGAGAGAAAGAGGAAAGTGAGAAGAGGGAGAGAGAGAGAAAGAGAAGGAGGAAGAGAAAGAAGAGGAAGAGAGAAAGAGAACGAGGAAAGAGAGAAGAGAAGAGGATGGAAGAGGAAAGAAGAGAAGAGAGAAAGAGAGAAGGAGAAGAAGAGAAAGAGAAAGAAGGAAGA